GCGAGCCACAAAGTGGCTCAAAACGAGCCGCGCAGCGGGAGGGTACGGGAGGGGTTGCCCCTCTCCCGTTGGGGAGGTCCGGGGGCCTCCCCCGGAGGAAATCGTAAAAATTAGACCCCTAAACATCGTTTTTGGTACATTCTGAGCATCTTTTTTGGCAATCTTATGGCTCCAAAATTTACTGTTCGTGCACGGGAAAAGGCTGTATTAAAATTGTTTGCCACTCGTGGCCACACGATTTTGCCGATCGTACTATTACGCGCGGTCCTTGCGCCCGGCCACAACAATACAGAAAAATAAAGAAAGCATATTTAGATGTCAATTTGATCGAAAACATAATCATTGGGATGTGAAAAAATGTCACAGGTTCGCTTTTTGGAAGTTTTGTTTTTGTTTTGACGGTTTAATTCTAGTGGGGTGCGGTCCGAAAATGCCCAATGGAAATTCACCCCGGGTCCCGGTACACTGACTTCCGGGTTCCTTGAACAAGAATATTGCGAGAAGAGGGCTAAAAATCGGCGTAGAGAAATATATATCTTCCCGAAAATTCTTTATTTATGCATTCTTTAATAAGGCCACACCAATTTAATTTGTTGGTTCTCGGATTCGCCTCTTCGTTTTTTTCTGATTTGCAAAAAAAAAAATTGATTCTGGTCCTGAATCAACTGAAAAATGCCCATGTTTTGCCCCCCAACAGTTGAGGAAAGTCCTTTTCTTCCTAGTTGTTACAGTTTTCCCATCTATCATTGCAGTGGTTTGATTAAAAGTTAAAAATTCAATGTTTAAATTTTAACCCAGCCTTTTGTGTTGACTTCATGGCTCATTTTGTTGCATTTAAGCCTATAATAGGATGCCTAGACCTGTTTTTATTTTTATTTTTTTTCGCCCTGTCGCTTCATATTTTTTCTGAAAAAATCCGAGAACCAACAAATTAAATTGGTGTGGCCTTACTGACAAAGAAAAAACTATTCTTCTGTTAACTTTCCAAAACCCACAAATTTTGGAAAAGGTGGGACATTACGTCTTCCCCAGTTTGCAAAAGAGAAGTCAAACCCTTCAGACATAGGTTTAGACATAACTATTGTTTTATACAACTATTTTTCATTATGTAGATGTTAGTTATTATGTGTATAATCTGTTTCAATATTGTTTTATGTTTATGTGTTGCAATTAGCCTCAGGGCACAAATTTGCAATAAACTTCTATTAATTTAATCTTATAAACATCTGGGTAGCCCCTACAGCAGTTTGTTGATTTCCAAGGGGGCCCCGTAAATCATAAAACACTGGAAAAACTTGGTACATAAACTACATAGACTCAGAAAATGATAGAAGATTCAAGGTTTCATATAATGCCATGGGACTGTTATATTTGCATGTCTGTGTTGTACATGTAGGAAGATCAGGTGCATCCATTGGAAGAGTGTGACTGATGATTAGATAGTTAAAAGTTGAAGTTATGCTGAAAATTACATACATGCACTTTGTCAGCACGTATCTAAAAGCATTGTGACGTCAATTCAAAAATGGTACAAAAGAGCCCTCTAGCAGGTCATAATAGTACTGCAGATTTCAGAGAAGAGAGATGGTTGATTCATTCTGACTGTTCTGGGTGGCCCAGCACTGCAGTGTAGTCCAAGTCATGTTGCACAAGTTACATACCCTTGCCATGGCAATGTCATTTGCCACAAAGTGACATAACTTTTAACTCAAGCCTTCTCCAGTAAGAAAATGACACCCCATATAGTATAAAGTGTTCAACATGGTAGCAGTGTAAAAACATCTCTTTAGTAATTCTAAACATGTACAACGTTCCAGAAGAATGTAAATCAATGTCTGAAATGCCTGTTTTTATCACGCTGTCTTGTCACAAATTTGTTATCCCCAAAAAGCAGCCTTTATCTCTCCAAAGAGATATACAGAATGGTGCAATTTCGTGTTATTACCACATTGGTAAGCTGGAGGAAGAATAATGTGACCCCTCGGCTTTTCCAAAGGCACACGGTTCTCTCATTGTGAAAAGTTGGTGACTGCAAGTCACTGATAATAACAGGCAATCACGAGCTGCCTACTTCCAGTGCCACTTCTGTGGTAACCTATTACCAGACAGGCCTTATCCATCTATTCATCATGCCCTGCTTTGTAACAAGTTTTGGGGGAGCCATTCTGTCCAGGAAATTGCTGTGAAAATGATTTTTTCTGAGAGGGTGTGACTGGAATCACGAAGTCTCAGTATGATAATGTAATTTCCGACAACTTCGATGATATTTGACGCTCATGTTTATTGACGATATATAGTAGAGGGGATTCATTCCTCAAGCTACCAACATCTTGCACACGCAGTCGTCCCTCAGTAAGACATCTGGAGCCGCATAGTTCCCGTTTAGAACTTTTATTCAGCCTGTCACACATCTTGACGATGGCACATATTTCTGCTAGACTTACGAGATTCTACCCGGAGCTTTAACAATTACTTAGATTTCTAATTGAATGCACTAGCTGTTAGTGTCATAAGTAAGTAAAGTCAAGTCATTTGTTGGTAACATTGTGAGGTCCTATCTGCAGACAATCAAGTCAGGTGGTAAAACTTTGTGATTACAGTTCTTCAGTTTCGGAGGGACGTAGCAATTTTCACGAATTGTTACACAAATTGTGACTTTTAACTTTATTATGTAGTACCAACATCATTGGTGTGACGACCTTTGCAAACTCATTCTTGTACCAACTTTTAGAAGGTCGCCAAGCTATCAGTTGGCAACATTATTACTGTGAGGGTACTACATGTACCTGACATAGTATATATTACATACATGCACAATGGAGGGATGTAGCAATTTTCACAAATTGTAACACAAATTGTGACTTTTGTACCAACTTTGAGAAGGTCACCAAACTCACAAAGGGACTTTTACAACCTTATTCTCCTGCATTAACATGCAGAGTGTTGCCATTGTGTAGCAACTCATGCAATATACTGCTTAGAGAGATGGACCTGCATGCGTTGTTGGTCTGATTCAACAACCACAAAAACTTCAGCACCAAGGACATAACAGCGAGGATGAAACAGGTTTCTGTGTGACGTACATCATAAACTTACAATCACCTGCACTGCAGCCAACAGATAATCATGGTTAAGACATTTTATAGCAAGTTTACTGCCAACCTAAGCTGCCACCTGCCCTGCTTATACTTTATTTGATAGTAAAAGAAAGATTAAACCGATAGTTTATTTCAGTTTTCCAACTTTTGTTCAGGAACCGACCGAGTAGTTTACACAAGAAATATGGCTGTGGGTTGACTTAATTGCACTCATCTATCTGAATAGCAAAACAAGAGGCCTCTTTAAAATGGGGTTTTGATGTGGCAGTATTTCAGAGGTAGTTGTAAAATGTCTGTTGGCTAGACTCCAGAGACTCAGCAATGTAAAATCATCATATAAGAACTTCAAAGGACATGTACAAATGTACATGCAGTAGCCTAAATCCTTCCACTTTACCAATGAAACACAGCAGATCTGCATAAAAACTTCTGCAATACAGAGGGAACAACTTACAGACTGCCATTCTGTTCAGCCATAGTTAATGTTGTAGGCCTGGGCTGATGCAGTGTGGGTTTTTATCATGGTCAATATTAACCGACAAAGGCCATACATAAAACTAGGGACAGTTAACATCAGTAAATGGTCTGGTGTATTTTATCTGGTATATTCTTATTGAAAAAGGTAAAGGTGGATTCAGATTTACTATGGCAGGTCTAGCACAATGGTCTCCGCTTAAAACTATAGAAGAAAATAAGACCATTGCCAGGTTGTATATTGGTGGTCTGGTGGATTCTATCCTGTATATTCTAATTGAAAAATGTGAATTCAGATTTTATATGGCAGATAAAGCACTTGATCTCCTTTTAAAAATACAGAAGAAAATAAGACCATTGCCAGGTTTTTATATTGGTGGTCTGGTGGATTCTATCTTGTATATTCTAATTGAAAAATGTGAATTCAGATTTTATATAGGCAGATTGAGGACTTGGTCTCCTTTTAAAACTATAGAAGAAAAAAGCCATCACAGGTTGTATATTGGTTGTCTGGTGGATTCTATCTTGTATATAATTTCTTATTGAAAAATGTGAATTCAGATTTTATGTAGGCAGATATAGCACTTGGTCTCCTCTTAAAAGTACAGAAGAAAAAAGGGCCATTACCATGTTTTATATTGGCCATGCTAAAACCTGTACAACAAGCACTTTATCTACCCAGAGGCCCCCCACCTGCTAAGCTGAAGCCTCAGGGACACGTAATGTTTCATAATGACATTCATTGGCCTTTTGTCTGACCCCTGCGTGCCGGTGACGTCAATGCGAGCTGCCAAGTCACGAAGTGTGAAGACATCAGAAATTGGTTCTTGGAAGTGGTCCTGGATCCAGCATACAAAGTGTAGAAGTACAAGAATGTTCAAAGCTTTAAAGCAAACTATGTTTTACTGTGTCATAAGTTCTTACCTAAATTAGTACCTACTTTGTAAACCTCTTCAATGTAGTAACTGTTTCAATGTCAATGTTTAATAATCATAGTACTACACATTCATTGGTAATTTAAGATCCAGCTGCCTACCATGATTGTCTTTAATGACTGCTACATGTGCTTGTGTAAAAGCTTTTTTCATACCTTCTCAGAACAGTTACTGAATGGAATTATCAAATGAGCTACTCTTGCTATAAAGAACATAAATAGATAAATATATAATTAACAAAAATAATCAACAAAATTAATTAGGGCTCCAACCTACATGTAGGAGTGTTGAGTTGCATACTAAAGAAACAGCAGACAGTGAAAACAGCTGTCATTTTTTTAATATAGCTTAAAAGTTTCAAGTCTCTTAGGACAGAACTGATTAACAACTTGAAACAACATTGCGTAATACGCCTCTCCATATTTAATGAGAAAAGAATAAAGCCTTTTACCAAGTTCTAACGCAGACATGAAAATTACATTACTGCCAGGAAGCACGTTGCGCAGAAGGTCATCAGGGAATAACGTCAGCTTTGGTACTGTCAGAGCGAATCTCGCTGACTTGACAGTTTGTATCACAAAGGGAGACTTAAGTCAGGAAAGGTGACAGCCCTGAATTATCACTGCAAGTCTCAAGGCAGATGGGAAGACTTTGTAATTATGCAGCAAGTTTAAACTGTAATTTCCAACACAACAAATTGGACTCACCCAAATTTTTGACTATACAACTCCAGTCTTTGTTGAACAATCCACCACTTCCGGGACGTCACACAGATAACACACGACGGGACTCCGTGAGCAGTGGATCATAGGTTGCAGAAAGTCTGTGGCGCCCCCCGTCTCTGTTGAGGAATGGTTGTAATGCCCTGGTGTAGAAGGCCTCTTTAATCCCTTGTGCAAAGAAGTCCGGTTCTGAGTCCAAGAACTTGCTGCATAATGACCTCTACCAACACAGATGAATTTTCAACTTGATTCAAGATGGGAAGACTGTGTAATCAGCTTGTCACTCCGGGAGGGTTACCGGGCCAACATGAGGACAACATCAATGTTTGGAAATCACTTATTTGATGAGTGAAGAAAGACAGATTGTAAATTAAGGCTGTTCAAGTTTTTGATTTTGTTCAACTCAAGTATAGAAGCGATCATCTCATGAGTTGTCACTATTGAGTGCAGTGTAATATCATATATTATAGTAACTTAATAAATTTTGTTTCATGGACTATAAACTATGAGGGCAAAACAGAAACTCCTACTCTTCTAGCTGTTACTGATTGTGAATTTTTTTCCCCTTTATACCTTGTTTGATTGACTTGGGCAATTGGATCCAGAACTCTCCCCAATACTTCTTTGTCATCAGTGAGAAGAAAATCAGACTTGGAAACCTTCCATTTCAGACCGGCCCCCACGAGTCTGTAAAACTGTCAGTTCCTCTGCAGCCAAGATTCCAATTAAGAAAGTTTTCCACTGTGCAAATCTCATTGCCAAAGACTTAATCAAATTTGACACAGCCTGAAAAGGAGATGCAGCGCGGCGCTCGAGTGTAGAGGATCCGTTTTCGTTTGCGCAAATCCTCTTAACTGGAAACCTGACAGGCAAAGTGGATCATGTTTAAGAGTTGGCGTCGAACGAGACACAGAAAGATGCAGGTTCCAACGAGATGCAGCAACAACTTTTCTTCGGAATTTGGCAAAGACATAAGATGTGTAACAGTGGGGGTTTATAGGCGATACCAACTGACCCGGCCGATGGGTCTAGACCTTTTAGCCGATTGGGTAGGAGCGTCGGGTTGTAAGCTGGTGCCAGGCTTTGGCGTGGGTTCGATCCCCAGCCCAGGACCAGTAGTGTCTTTCTGTTTCTACTCTAATCTTACAGTGGTTTCCACACCAGGAATTGAACCCGGGCCTTGATGGTACATGACATTGTACACTACGTAACAGACAAACCTGACCAAGAAGACCACTCACAAGGCTGATAAAATCATTCTGGTCTTTACGTTTCAAGTAGTAAGCACTAAATTTTGTCACTGACTAACAGAACCCGTGGTGGAACAGGTATTATTGTCCAAAAACTATTAAATGCTACTTGAAACTTCAGACAGTTTTCAAAATCTATCTATAGCTGCTTGAGTAACTGTTTCCTTGTGTATCACACTACCTGGATGTCAAACCTTCATCGAGCTTTTGATTTGAATTTGGCAAAGTCGAGTAAAAAGATCCAGAAAGCAAATGATGATGAATGAGGAACCATAGACACTTTACGACTCTGGCATGTGCAACTCCTTCCTATTTCCTGAGAAAAATACAGGACACAGGAGACGAAATATCTTCGATCAAGTTCAAAATGAGAGGTCTATTCAGAGATTTATGATTCTGCTTTTGACATGTTGTCATAAAAATTTTGATACATGCATGTAGGCAAAGAAGACTACACTATAATTGGTGATCAATAAGTTTTCAGTTTCAATATCTACTTTGTCTTGTCAAGGTGGTGATGAGTGATGTCCTTAATTTGAGAACTTAAATTTCTCGCACATGGTAGTTTATCATTGGCAACAAAATATGTTAGGGAATATTTGTGTTTCAGGTCAATGGATGTTATTTTCTGGGTCATGTCAAATGTCACTGTGAAAGTGAGAGACTGTGCAAGTGTAATAAAGTATAATTAAAGATACAGACTTTTGGAGAAAGTTACTCAAGCTGTCACTTCCTTCAAAATATCTACATTTCTACTTAAATCACAAATACCTTATCATGAAAATTTTGGCCTATTCATTGTCCACTGCCTCTTAAGAGGAAGTCAAACCCCAGTAGTGCACATAGAAATTAGATAGATCTACAGACTAGACATTTTCCCTTAGGCCACACCAAGTTAATTTCTTGGTTAACAGATTTTTCTAGAAAAATAATGGAGCGGGCAGGCGAAAAAAATAAAAAAAATAAAAACAGGCCTAGGCATCCTATTATGGCCCAAAATGGTACGATAGGAGCCATGAAGTCAACACACCAGGCTGGTTCAAAATCTAAACAATGAATTTTGAACTTTTAATGATACCATTCCATTGAAAGATGGAATAGCTGTAACAGCCAGGAAGAAAAGGGCAAAATATGAGCATTTTGCAGTTGATTCTGGATTTTTTTTTTTTTTGCAAATCTGAAAAAAATGAAAATTAAAGAAATAAAATTAGTGTGGCCTTATGTGCATGAATTTTGAAAGCCCTGACAAAATGTAGTCTATGAATGTCTTGCTAACAAAAATTTGTCCTCTTTGTTTCCCCCAGGTCCAAGCCTACTCCCGTGATCGAGACTGGATCACAGAAAGCTCAAGACTTCCAGGTAAGATACATGATTATATTATATACTTTCTGATATGTTCCATACAGTATGTCAGCAGAATGTACTGCACCTGCGTGAAACCCATACTGTGCATAGCACTTTGGAAGAACGTCTCATGTAAGGTCGTATTCGCGTACATCAGGTTAACGTCTGTAGTTTTCAAATGTTATGTCGGAAAAGACATCATCTGCAACAGGCAAAATTCAGATGCAACGTTGACCAAACATCCACAAAAAAAACGTGAAAAATCAAGGTTTCGCACAGGCACAGTACATTCGATTCTGCTGATGTGCTGTTCCATACACATAGTACAATTTCTAGTAGTAGAAGCTTTATAAAAAGACTCTGGAGAAGGTATCCAGCTCAACAGCAGCAGAGACATCAGTGGAGGATGAATGTTTGAATGGAATATTACACAGTGAAGAAATAAAGAGATACACGAGTGTGTGCTTGAGACAGAAATTTCATACTTCTTGTGTCTGGGTGAATTTGCTTAATCCTGGGTGTATGCAGTAAACAAGACGTATAACATACAACATTCAAGCATCACATGAAGTACAACATGTATTATATGATTATACTTAACATGGTCTAATACTTTACTCTGAAACTGCTGATATACAGTACACATTATACCTTTTTTTCATTGCTGGGTATTTCTTGATCAGTAAGATCTTTCTGAATACATTTCTTGTCTTGACACACAGTACATTTTCTCACAAAACCACAGGTACTAATATGCAATGTAGACAATGTTATGTAATTTACTACAGTACTGAGATGCTCATTTACTGTACATGCAGGTTACATTGTCTTCAGACTTATTCTCAGTCATTGATGAAAGATATGCTACATGTATCTGAAAAAAAGTCGGACTCTTCATAGAATTTGCACCTTGTTTGATTCATTTTATATGAAGGTCTACCTGGATATCTAACCTTCATCGACATTATAGTTTTTGTATTATCATGTTTTTCTTTTGTTGGTGTCTTAAAAGCCTGTTTTGGCTGGGCAGCGTGTGGTCACAAGACAAAATCATTAACTTTCATTCATTCATTCATTCATTCATTAGTTTAGTTTACAATGTAGTTCAGTTTATTTTACCATTCATTCATTCATAGTTGACTGTTACAGTAACAGCATTGCATACAGTACTAGACTGAGTGCACCCATACTTACACCCATTCATTAATAGTACAGTAATATCATTGCATACAGTACTAGACTAAGTGCACCCATACTTACACCCATTCATTAATAGTACAGTAATATCATTGCATACAGTACTAGACTAAGTGCACCCATACTTACACCCATTCATTAATAGTACAGTAATATCATTGCATACAGTACTAGACTAAGTGCACCCATACTTACACCCATTCATTAATAGTACAGTAATATCATTGCATACAGTACTAGACTAAGTGCACCCATACTTACACCCATTCATTAATAGTACAGTAATATCATTGCATACAGTACTAGACTAAGTGCACCCATACTTACAACCATTCATTAATAGTACAGTAACAGCATTGCATATACAGTACTAGACTAAGTGCACCCATACTTACACCCATTCACGCAGAGCAGAATCGAATTACCCTCCTTGGGAGAAGCTGTCACATTAGTTTGAGCGGAAATAGAGGCACCTGTACTGGGTACGCCTGACTGATGTCCAGTGTTAGTATTCCACACCTGCTCTGACACAGTAACGTCAGCCTCCATTCATGTTCACAGGTGTTACTCACACATACATGTATCACTAACTATCATGAAAGTTCATCTGTGTTAGTAGTTACAAGTTTAGAGTTAAAACATTTGATCCAACACAAAAAGTTCTCTCCCCTAGAGCTTTTGACCAGTCACTCTGGTCTTCCTCAGTAGACTGACCCAGTGAGGCTTGTCACATGGCTTCTTTGAAGTGTATCACTAATGTTTGTCCTAAACAAAATTGATGGTTAAATACTCTGTTTGGGTAGAGTAGCATTCTTGGTGAGTTGACACAACTGTTGAGTGACAAAATCTGATCAGACAGCGCCTCTTTATCCTACATGAACGTAACTAATCAAGGCTCAAAGTACTGGGTGCTTGACTTTGGGCACCCAAAAGTGGAGCTGGGTACATAATTTGTGATTGTAGGTGCATCAGTGACCTAGATACTTGAATGTGTAGACTTACGGTGTAAGTTGCTTGGTAAGATACTTGTAAGTGTACATGAAAGTAATTGTACATGTACACTAAGAAGCTGTCACATTAGTTTGAGTGGAAATGGAGGCACCTGTATACTGGATACGCATGACTGATTTCCAGTGTTAGTATTCCACACCTGCTCTGACACAGTAACGTCAGCCTCAATTCATGTTTTCAGTTACTACAACATATCGCTAAAGTTTGTCCAAAACAATGGATGGATGATCATTGAATACTCATAAGTTGTTAGTGAGCTGTTAGTCACACAACTGTTGAGTGACAAAATTTGACAAACTGTATATCATCGTATCTGTATATCAGACTCCATATTCCAATTAATCAGGGCTCAAAGGCTACTGGGTGCATGACTCTGTGCACTTTTGTGCACTCCAAATTGGAGCTGAGCACATGATATTTGATTGTGGTTATACCACTGACCTAGATGCTTATGTAGGGTTATGTACAAACTATGTAAAGGTACTTGTCTAGCATACAACATACATCACTGTCTGACATATTAGCAAAACCTTTGTCGTATTACGGTACCTTGAAGTTTTTCTGACATTTTCTACTTTATCTCAAACTTTTTCTATGTACCCAAATGTCTAGGTTAGCTGCACACCAGTGCACCTACATTTCTGTATTCCCCAAACAGAATTTTGAACACGTAAGATTTGTAACTAGGTTTTGCTGACATGTTATACTTTATCTCAAACTTTTTGCTGTGTACCTAAATGTAGAGGTTAGACGCACACCAGTGCACCTACATTTTTATATTCCCCAAAACAGAATTTTTGAGCACATAAGTCATAAGATTTGAACTAGGTTTTTCTGAAATTTGTACTTCATATCAAACTTTTTCTGTGTACCTAAATTTGTAGGTTAGACGCACACCAGTGCACCTACATTTTTGTATTCCCAAAACAGTTTTGAGTATGTAAGATTTGTAACTAGGAGTCCCAATTTTGAGAACGTAAGATTTGTAACTAGGTTTTGTTGACATTTGTAAGTATTTTTCTGTGTACCCAAATGTCGAGGTTAGCTGCACACCAGTGCACCTAGACATTTTTGTATTCCCCAAACATGATTTTGAACACGTAAGATTTGTAACTAGGTTTTGTTGACATTTTGTACTTCATATCAAACTTTTTTCTGGAAACCTAAATGTAGAGGTTAGACGCACACCAGTGCACCTACATTTCTGTATTCCCAAAACAGAATTTTGAGCAAATAATATTTTATAATTTTGTAACTAGGTTTCGCTGACATGTATCTCAAACTTTTTTCTGTGTAACCCAAATTTCTAGGTCCAGTGCACACCAGTGCACCTACATTTCTGTATCCCCAAACTGAATTTTGAGTACCAGATTAATCAAAGATGAGTCACATTCCTGACGGATCCAACAGTGACGGATGGAGGAAAGACGAATCATTTCGCCGGTTCGATCACCCCCTAAGACGACAAACTGACCCGGGGTAATATGGCAGTCGGGAAAAGCGCTGCGTTTTTGGATCGGCACACTCTCTCGTGTAACCCTGTGGCCCTTCCGTACGTGACCTCGGCTTTACGCACAGAACGTGAGAATTATGACGCGCGTAGGTTTGGCGTGGAGGGACGTGAGTGGCATAAGGCCACACCAATTTAATTTGTTGGTTCTTGGTTTCTTCAGGAAAAATATGAAGTGACCGGTCTAGACATACTATTATAGGCCCAAATGCTACGATAGGAGCTATGAACTCAACACAAAAGGCTGGGACTTTTAATCAAACCACTGCATTGATAGATGGAAAAAAAATGTAACAACTAGGAAGAAATTAAGGACATTTGAGTTGATTCAGAACCAGAATCTCTGGCTATCAGTCCATCTTGTTCACGGAATGGCCTAATCTCGCGTAATCACAGTTACTGTAATTTGATAGTAGTGAAAACAACTCAAAATCATGATACATGATCATACAATGTTGTTTTGGGGTTATTGGATTCAAATGGGTACTGCATTTCAGCCAATCAATCTGTCAATATTCTGTAGGGGTGGAGACATGTCAATTGGAAATTCAATAGACTTTTTATGAGAATCTTAAATGATGTTAATGACAAGGTATGGAAGAAAAATTGGTCTTGGTGCAGTGTCTCAGTATCTGAAAATCCGAATCAGGAAAAAATGTCTATGAGTAATAACTCTTGAGCATGAGGCACCAGCTTGGCAGGCATGTAGTTGGATGTCTGATTCCATTCCATCAAACAATATTTCACAGACACGTAAAGCTGCAGTTCCATCGAATCATTAAAAGTGCTGGAAGGCAGGTTTACGAGTTTCAGCAGATAAGACGTTTCACTCCGATAACTCGGGATTATCGTATATAGCTCTTATGATATGCCCCGTCAAGTTTCATACCGCCCGAAGGGAGATTGCTTAATCTACTATCAGGTACAAAACACCTGGAATGTAGATTTGTAGGTGGAGATGTTAAGAGGACTGGTTTTAATGTAAATTGGTAGAATGTAAAAAATGGCCAACTAGTACATTTTTTTTTTAAATTTACTTCATCGGTCACCACAAAACGAGGCTCATGGGAGCCACTTAAAATGTTTTGGGTTACAGAACAGCCAGAGTGGACAGATGTTTGTTGACCTTAGACTTGAAGAGTTTAAGGTTATACATGTACTCACAGGGAAAGCAATCACGAGGTAGCTTATTCCAAAGTGATGTTGTTCTTGGAAAGAAGCTTTCAGCATGGAACTTCCTCCTATTAAAGAGGTGGTGAATGGAGGAAGAAAAGGTGATTTTGCTTCGGTGGAGGTG